AGTCTGAAGTGTACCTGTTACAGCTCCCCCGAGGGGGGTGGGGGAGTGGGTGTTGTTCAGCAGATGAGTAGTTTTGCTTTGCTCAGCTGTGAGAACATGACAGACTGCCTCTCATGCAAACATATTTCAGTGATAAGGAGCAGACTTTCGAGAGCAGAGGTTTTCAAAGGCTTTTTGGGTCAGGTTTTTGCACCGAAAACTGTACTAACTGAGATAATTTCCTTAATGTGTTTCTGTCTCTTTTTTCCCCCAGTGTGAGTATCACTTCAACATGCATCTCGCTTCGCTGTCTTGTGTCAGTATTAAATTAATGAAAACAAAATGTTTAAGAAAATAAAAAGGGGGAGGTGTTTGGGCCGGACACTAACCGGTAATAAGTCTGGCAGGTATCTTAATTAGATTTGTAATTAATTGCATGCCAAGCTGAACACAGAAGCACGCGCACACAAAGGCAGCTTGTTTTATTGTTGCCTTTCTGAGAGGAATTCATCCCATCGAGAATTCGCTTCTGTCTGTAAACTGGTTCTAACAAAGTACAAAACAAAACTTTCCAAACAGATTTAGCTGTTATGAGTTTTGCACCTTCACTGTGAAAATATTCCCTGTGCAGCAGGATGGTCTCTCACCATCATTTTTAGAGGCAAAGCCCCCCGACAACTTCATTTTCTAACACTGCAACATGGTTTATTTGAGGCCTGAGCTTTTCAAATTGTTTGGTTTGCGAGGCTAGACTGTTTTGATTTTGTTTTGTTTTGTAGAAAAATTAATGAATATAGCACAGACTCGACCCCCCCACCCCACCCCCTTGCTTTATAATGAATCATAACTCCGTTTGGTATCAGAGCAGATGAAGTGTCCCATCTGCTGGTGAACTGGGAAAGTAACCAGCCCATAAAGAAAGAGTCCAGTCTGAAGATACTCATGATTGATTTCATTTTGCTTTTGCATTTATGAAAATATTTGATAAGGAAAAATGAAAATAATGTGAAAACCAAAAGGGATAGTTCAGACCTTTTGAAGTGAGGTTCTGTGGAAATGACATGAATAATTATCATCTTACCTGTTGCAGATAACTCATCAACCTCAGTTTGGAGAAACTGGGTTTAGTTCTCATCAGACTAATGAACTAAGGATTACAGTTGTCTTTAAAAAATTGTCTCAAAAACATTAAAGACCATAATACAAATGCTATTTTGTAATTCTTTTGATATTCTTTCTGGACTTACCCCAGCCTGCCCCACAAAAGCCACAGTTATAGATTAGCAGCAGGTTTACAAGTTGAATGCTTCTCTCAAATTGGCCCACATTGACCATTATGAGTCTGACCATTTGCTTCTAATAATAATAATAATAATAATAATAATAATAATAATAATAATAATAATAATAATAATAATAATAACAACAACAACAACAACAATAATAGTTTGTCTTCACTTTATGTGCTGTCTGAATACAATGTAGTACATTGTGGAGGCACTCTCTACACCATGAAGCATACAGTTTATCCATCTAATTGTCACACAGAAATAAGTTCTTTCCCAAAAAGAACCAGGCAAGTGCGCTGAATGACTTCCGGCCGGTGGCACTCACTTCACATCTGATGAAGACGTTGGAGCGACTCTTTCTCTGTCTCCTCAGACCCCAGGTGCAACATGCGCAGGATGACCTGCAGTTTGCATATCGGGCAGGTGTTGGTGCGGAGGACGCCATCATCTATCTTCTACATCGAACCAACTCACATCTGGATGAAGGGAAAGGCACCGTGAGGATCCTCTTCCTGGACTTCTCAAGTGCCTTTGATACCATTCAGCCCACTATCCTTCAAGAGAAACTGAATGGGATGTGAGTGGACCCCTGCCTGGTCACCTGGATCTCAGACTACCTCACGGACAGGTCGCAGTATGTCAGGCTGAAGGATATCATGCCTGACTGACACTGTAATCAGCAGCACTGGAGCACCTCAGGGCACGGTGCTGGCCCCTCTCCTCTTTACTTTGTACACAGCAGACTTCTGCTACAACTCAGTGCTGTATCACATCTGGAAGTTTGCTAATGATACAGCCATCGTTAGTTGTATTAGGGATGATAGAGAGGAGGAGTACAGAAGCCTGGTGAGAGACTTTGCTGACTGGTGCCACAGGAATAATCTGCAGCTCAACACCTCAAAGACTAAGGAACTGATCATTGACTTTGGGAGGTCCAGACCAAAGTCACAACCAGTAGTGATCGATGGGGATGAGGTGGAGCCTGTTGACACCTATAAATATCTTGGGCTGTGGCTGGACAACAAGTTAGACTGGTCGTGTAACACTAACCACCTGTACAAAAAGGGACAGAGCAGGCTGTACTTCCTCAGGAGACTTCGGTCCTGTAACATCTGCAGGAAACTCCTGTGGATGTTCTATCAGTCTGTGGTCACCAGTGTCATCTTTTACACTGTGGTGTGCTGGGGCGAGGGGGGGAGCATATCCAACAAGGACACAAACAGGCTGGACAAACTGATCAAACGAGCTGGATCTGTTGTTGGCATGAAGCTGGACTCTATGGTGACAGTAACTGAGAAGAGGTCTCTAAAGAAAATATTGGACATTATGGACAATGGTAAGCACCCTCACACTGTTATCAGCAACCAGAGGAGCCAGTTCAGTGGAAGGCTTCTTCTCCCAAAATGCAGAACCAACAGACTAAGAAACTCTTTTGTCCCTCAAGTGAAAAGGCTGTACAACTCCTTGCTGGGAGGGAGGAGGGTTGCAACTAGTCTACAGCGTAAAAACTAGTGTATAATGTGTGTTTACTTTGACCTTCTCTTTTGACCTTTTCTTTTGATTTTTGTCTTGACTTGTTCTTATGATGATGTAAAATGTGCAACATCTCCATTTGACAGGTACATTGCTTCCCTTATTTTAATCTGTATTGTACTGATGCTGCCGGAAATGTAATTTCCCTGAGAGAACCCTCCCAAAAGGGATCAATAAAGTTTTATCTAATCTAATCTAATCTAATCTAAGAAATAAATTCAAGTTACAAAATCAAAATATTGGTTTTACCTAAACCTATCATTAGGATTGAAAAAAATATTAAATAAGGAACGGTGATGCTACTTTCTCATTGCACCTGGACTAGCTATTGGCTTGTCAGTAAAACCAAAATTAAATTTTATTTTATCAAACTGAGTCCATTCGTAGATCCATCTAAGTAAGGTATTAACTCTTCATAAACTTACAAAAGAACCACACTTCAAAAGAGGCAGCATGATGGATCAGTGGTTAGCACTGACTGATGCCTCATGGCAAGAAGGTCCTGGGTTTAATCCACAGTTCAAACCTGGGCTCTTTCTATGTGGAGTTTGCATGTTCTCTTCATGCTTGTGTGGGTTTTCTCTGAGTACTCTGGTTTTCCCCACAGACCAAAAACCTGCACAACAGGTTGCCTTCAGGCCCAGGCCTCCTTTGCAAAATAGATCTGTGATTTCGTTGGAGTTTACCTGGCTAAATAAAGTTTAATAAATAAAGATCTGAAATGTGAAATATTAATAGATTTAAAACCTATTGCCACTTTTTTTCACATTTTTGGTGACCTGAGCCACTAACAGATTAATAATGTCTCCATGCTAGTAAGACACTTCATCCTTGTTCACCATTCAGATCTTAAAAACCATCCTACTGAAATACTAGAGCTTTTTTTGGATTTAACCAAAAGACAGCAAAATAAAATAAAATAAAATAAAACAAACCTTCATGGAAAACATTTGAGTATGAAATGTGCCAAGTATTATCACACACACAGTTTCACATTCCTGGCATGGCAGAGTCCAGCGCACACCTGGATGTGTTGTCAAAAAGTTTTACAGAGTAGCTGTCAATATTTTCTGCATCAGCTACGCCATCTGTGTTTTGTCTTCACATTGTGTTTTGTTGTTCTTGGATTTTAGCAAAAGTTCTTAGTTGGACTCTGGTTCTACATTTCTTGATTAAAAAAAAAAGAAAGTACCTTGGCACCAGAAACCCAGATGTTGGGTTCCCATGCTTATATATGAGCATTTTAATCCAGGTGTTGGAGAGAATACAGAGGACGGTAAGTTAAAATATGGAAATGAAAGGGCTTGTGTGTAAAATAGCATCTGTATTTAAGGCCTAAATGCAGTGTGTGTATATGCTCATGAGTAAACACAGTTCATTCTAATGCTACAGTGAGGTCGAGGGAAATGTTCCAGAAAACACACCTGCGTGATCTGTCAACCCCAGACACTCTGACCACCTCTGCCATTGGTCCATCCACAAACCAGTAGGAGACTGCGCTGCTGCCTTCAGAGTGGGAGTTGTCTCAGGTGGAAAGCTTAAAAGCGAGCTCCTGTCCCCACCGTCCCCTCAGCAGAACCATCAATCAACATGATTCCCATCGTGCTGGCCTCGGTGCTCTTTGCTGGCGGTAAGAACATCTGGAATACGGATAATTGTTCCTGCATGTGACGTTGTTACTCAGTGAAATAGCCGTCTGCAATTCATTTTCCAAACAGAAAGATGTTGCTCTTTGTTCCCAATGTGAACATTGGAAGCAATGCCAGTGCTCCGAATTGGGTCACACTCATTTAAAACTGCTTCTCCCGTCACAGCCCTCGGGTGCGGCACCCCAACTTTTGAGCCTTTAACATCCCGTGTGGTCAACGGAGTGGACGCCAAGCCCCACAGCTGGCCCTGGCAGGTATGCTAATCTGCACACATCTGTCAGTGTTTTTATGTTTACTTTCCAACACCGCGGGTTCAGCATCTGGTTATTAGATGTCAGACCCAGTGGCTGTTGAAAATCCTGTAATTAAATCGTTTTTATAGAAATAAATCAGCAGGCTATACCATCCTCATCCTCCTCGTTGATGTATTCTTTATGTTGTCGTGCATTATGTTCAGATCTCTCTGCAGTACAACAAAGACGGTGAGTGGAGGCACACTTGTGGAGGATCTTTGATTGCTGCCAACTGGGTCATGACTGCTGCTCACTGCATCAAG